ACTAAAAGATTGCTATCGGGATGTGAAGAGACTTTCAACCAGGATAACAAAAAACGTTTCTGAAGACAATCACCTATTGCACCTTTAAGACTGGTTTTGTGCTCCAGGGTCACACATGTCCAAAACGGTAATTTTTCCACACAAAAAAAAAACAACTAACATCTTGTTGCAACATTTTACAAAAATCAAGGCTGAATATATTTGGTCAAAACCCCATGTTATAAAAGACAATATTTAAGACAATATCGGCTGCTAAGACGGCAACGCTGACCTAAAATATAAAATGTTTACCCTCTCTCTCTTCTTCACCATTCCCACATCTCAGACCTCAAATACATCAAATATTACCCTTTTTAGACATAGTTTTTGAAGTGAAGAAAATACTATACAAAACTTATTGAAACAACCAGGGGCCAGTTGCATTAACTTAGCCACCATGTTAAGACACACAACTAGTTTGCCAAAAGGTAATCAGTCTTACTTTTCCAATACAAATAAGACTAATCTACCTTTTCATAACTGAATTAAAAAAAGTAATGACCAGTATTCAAGAAGAAAAAAATAGACTAACTTTTTAAGACTAGTCTAAACGTCAAAGTAAAGAGTAACCCCCCCCCATAAAAACACTTTCTCATTGGATCTAAGCAAATCTCATAGGTGACCTATTTTGATCTCAGAAAAGTGAGTTGTCACTGAAAGGGGAGGAGTTTGCATCTCTGATCTAAATCAAACGTACGTCACAGCCGCGGATGGCGTCCATGGCCAGCAGGTCGTTCCCGTGGCGCAGCTGGAACCGGACCATCTCCTGCGCTGTTCTGAGGTCAGCCAGCTCCTGCTCCTGAGACTGACCGCACTCCTTGATCAGATCCTTCAGGAGCAGAGCGTATTTACTCATCCTCTGGATGGGCTTCAGCAGGTATGACGCCAGGTCCATCTTATCGCCCAGCTCCAGCTGCTTGTTCTGCAGAGCACAGGAACCCTTCAGAAACATCTTCAGCTCGAGTGAATAACGTCACGGAGGAGAAACAACAGCGCTTACCTTGAAAAAACTGTTTCCGTGGCTCGTCAGTAGAGCGTCTGAGCGCGGCTTGTTTTTGCTGTACAGGGCGTACATCCCGAACTGTTCCTCCTAACCGCGGAAAAAACACATTTATATCTTACACTATCTCGTAAGATTTCAACAGCATTTATCGAGAGCAACCATGACAATTTCTGCCGTTGCACACTGTGCACATTATCATTTAAAAGTTTGAGGTTTTATCCAGATAAAAAAATAATTATATTTTAAAATATATATTTTTTTATTAAACAGCTACTTGTTTTATTTAAAATAAATGGTGTTTATTTAAATAAATTAAAAATGATTAAAATAATATAAATGCACACAAATAAATTTTCTTTAAAAAAAAATATAATTTATTTTATTTGATTAATAATTCATTATTTTATTTACACCAAATGTTCTTTATTCAAACAAATAATAAATTATATTTTTAATATTTAATTTAATTACTCAATAATTACTTATTTACATTAAATGGTATTTATCCAAATAAATAAAATAATTACAAAATATATTTATTTGAATTAAATGCATACAAAAGTAAATGAATAAATCTACTTTATAAATAGTATAATAATACTAAATAATATAATATTTCCATAATTATTTATTTTATTTAATTATTAAATAATCATTTATTTTAATTATTCATTAATTTTATTTACATTAAATTTAAATAATTATTATTATGATGAGCATTTGATCTGAATTAATTATTCAAATAAATAACACTTTTATTTTAAAATATTTAATTTCATTTAATAATTCAATAATGACTTTTTATTTACATTAAATGGTATTTATTCAAATAAATAAAAATAAATACAATTATTTATTTAAATTAAATGTATTCACACAAATGAATAAATCTACTTTATAAATAGTATAATAATACTAAATAATATAATATTTCCATAATTATTTATTTTATTTCATTATTAAATAATCATTTATTTTAATTATTCATTAATTTTATTTACATTAAATTTAAATCATTATTATTATGATGAGCATTTGATCTGAATTAATTATTCAAATAAATAACACTTTTATTTTAAAATATTTAATTTCATTTAATAATTCAATAATGACTTTTTATTTACATTAAATGGTATTTATTCAAATAAATAAAAATAAATACAATTATTTATTTAAATTAAATGTATTCACACAAATGAATAAATCTACTTTATAAATAGTATAATAATAGTAAATAGTATAATATAATAACATTTAAATAATTATTTATTTTATTTCATTTTTAAATAAGACATTTACAGTATTATTTTATAAAAGATTTTAAATAATTGCTTTTCGTTCTTTCATCAAACTTTCTATTCATCAAAGAATCCACCATTTCCACAAAAATATGAACTGTTTTCAACATTGGTAATAATCAGAAATGTTTCTCGAGCAGCAAATCAGCATATTAGAATGATTTCTGAAGATCATGTGACACTGAAGACTGGAGTAATGATGCTGAAAATACAGCTGCGCATCACAGAAATAAATTACAGTTTAACAGATATTCACATAGAAAACAGCTGTTTTAAATTGTAATATTATTTCACATTTTTGCTGTATTTTTTATCAAATAAATGTGGCTTTGGTGTGCAGAAAAGACTTCATTAACCATCACATGGACTCACGTGTTTGAGGAAGCAGATGCTGATGGACAGCGGTGAATGAGCGCAGCTCTCCAGATCCGTCAGGAAATACTGGCTATGAAAGTCGCACAGTTTCTCCAGATTCCCAAAAATGATGCTGCGCTTCCCTCGGAGGTCCTGAGGAAGGTCCAGTCGCTCCATCTCAGGGAAGTAGTGCTGGATGATGTAGCTGAGGGATCTGACGTACTCTCTCTCGGTGGAGATCATCTCGTCCATGATGTGCTGGATTTTACTGAAACGCAGCACAGCAGCCACGCAGCGTGAATAAGGCAGTTCAGTCATGCATTAAAATGTGGATTTATGGTCAACTTTAGCATGAGGGCAGCATAAAAGAAAAACTTATAGACCATATACAGTTTAAAAATCTCTCTCTATTTCAGTTCAGTTCTCAGGCCACATTCACAGTTTTATAATTGTATTAAATTATTACAATTAAACAAATCAATAATAATATAAGCAGTAATACTATATAATAAAATAAAAAAACTAGAATTTATTTTAAAAAATAAGATATTATGTTAATTATTATAATTTTTGCAGAAAAACAGAAACAAATACAAATAATTACTATCATTTAATGTTTAATTATCTATATTATTCACTATTATTTAATATTACTAATATTCATGTCTGTCTTTATCATTATCATAATTTTTTAATTAAATTATACACAAATCTGAAATATTTTTAATAATTAGATTAATAATAATAATACAATTTACTTATTAATAAATTATTGCTATTATTATTATTATCATCCTCATGTTTATTAAATTATAATGGTTCATTCATCAAATTATAAACATTCCAAAAACTAAACAAATCAATAAAGTAATTGATATTAATCGCATTACTAAAATAATAATATACTGTAAAATACAAATGAACATTTAATAATAGTTATTTTATTATTTTATTAAGTAATAAAAAATTAAACAAATCAATAAAAAAATCTATTTCTACACTAATAATACTATACTGGAATTTTTAAAAATCAAGTATTTGCTAAAAATATATTTTATTATCATTGTTATTATTATTACTTAAACAGTAAAAATACAAATAAGTACTACTACTATTATTTATGTTTAATTATTTCTATTATTTACTATCATTACTAATATTTATAGCTGTCTTTTATTTTATTTAATAAAATCACTATTTATTTAATTATAAAAATTAAACAAATCAATTGTCACGATCTCTAGCTGGAGTGACCACGAGCTCCGCTAGAGGGCACCCCATCCTTTACCATTTACATTCTCACAGACTACATTCCCCATAATCCTTTGCCCGGACTCATCACGAGTTGCAATCAGCTGTATCTCATCACCTCATCAGTCTCACAGTATAAGAATGGCGCACGCACACGCACACATGTGCGCACACACACACACACGCACGCACGCACGCACGCACACACACGTTCACACGTTCACACGTTCACACGTTCACACGTTCACATCGCTGATGATTGATAGCCTGTAATGTTTTCTTACTTCCGGTTTCCTGCCAGTGTTTCCGTGTTTTCCTGTGCCTTGTCTTGCTTTGCCTTTGTGGTTTTTGGATCTGTTTATCTGGTTTTCACGATTATTTTGCTGCCTGCCCTGACCGTTGCCTGTTCTGTGGATTACTCTTTTGCCTGTGCCTTTGATATTACTGTTTACTGGTGTTTTGACCCTGCCTGTTCTGACTACGCTCTTCATAATAAAGCCTTGCATTTGGATCAACTACTCTGTTGTCACGCCTCCATGTTACAGAATCATCAGCCATACCCGGATCCAGTGGCTTTTTGAGTGCTCCAGGCCAATCGTGGACCCAGTCGATCAGCTTCTTCACCTTCGGCAAAAGGACCTGTCAATTGAGGAATACGTTCATCTATTCTGTGATTTTTTTTGTAGCATGTGCCGTTTTATGATGAGATTTTGTTTAAGGACTTGTTCCGTTGTGGACTCAATGAGCCAATGAGGTCATTGTTACCTGGGGGACATCATGGATTATGCACTCTTGTTAGTTGGTTCCCCTTTCACCGTGGGAGAAGCAGAGTCTCTGCCCAAAATGGCTGCCAACCCAGAACCTGTTCTCAAAATGGCTGCCAACCCAGAGACTTTTTGCAAGATGGCTGCCATTCCTGCGTCTCGTCCCATCATGGCCGCCATTCCAGAGTCTTGTCACGTCACAGCTGTCATCTCAGAGTCAAGTCAAGACACAGCTGATCTTTCTGAGTCACTTCATGTCACAGCTAATCGTCTAGAGCAGTGGTTCTCAACCCACGGCCCGTCACGAATTCAAATGCGGCCCGCTGAACACAATTAAAAAAATAACTTTCAGTTTTACAATTCATTTTAGTTTTTACATTAATTTAAAAATGTACTAAACAAATATAAGCTATAATGTTTTTGTTATGTAAAATAATTTTGTTTTTCATATATTATTTTCAGACATGAGCAGACCTGTACTCACGTAATTAACGTTACGCATTTAACGAACACTTACAAGCGCGCACTTTGGCAGAATTCAATTCAAATAGTCATCAGCAGCCATTAGTTTGGTAAAATTGAGCATAAGAATGGACACATTTGTTATTAAGGGAGAAAAACGAAATGTGGAAAATGCCAGCGAAGGAACACATACAAACAAGAGTAGTCGCAGCAGTGAAGGTAGGAGAGTGCTGTACTTTTGGCATCAACTTTCGGTTTTTTCATCACTAATTGATGGATGTCTAAAATATAAAAATAAGAATAACAAGCCCGATGCCCGGCCCGCATCTCAACTATGATGTGAAAATTGTCCCGAAGCCCGGCCCTAGGGGCGTAAAAAAATCGGGGCCCTTGGGCCCGGGCTGAAATGCAGGGCTCTAGTTCATGGTAAAGGAAAAATAGGCTATTATAAATCTGGTTGGTTTGTATTGGTGACATAATATGTAAATGATATGCGTGCGGCCTGTGAGACTTGCACTTGGACCATAGTGCGGCCCAGTGGAAAAAAAGGTTGAGAACCACTGGTCTAGAGTCTCATCACGTCACAGCTGATCGTCCAGAGTCTCGTCACATCGCCCAAAGTCTCGTCACGTCACAGCTGATCATCCAGAGTTTGTCACATCACAGCTGATCATCCAGAGTCTCGTCACGTCACAGCTGATCGTCCAGAGTCTCGTCACGTCACAGCTGATCATCCAGTCTCGTCACATCACAGCTGATCGTCCAGAGTCTCGTCACGTCACAGCTGATCATCCAGTCTCGTCACATCACAGCTGATCGTCCAGAGTCTCGTCACGTCACAGCTGATCATCCAGTCTCGTCACATCACAGCTGATCGTCCAGAGTCTCGTCACGTCACAGCTGATCATCCAGTCTCGTCACATCACAGCTGATCGTCCAGAGTCTCGTCACGTCACAGCTGATCATCCAGTCTCGTCACATCACAGCTGATCGTCCAGAGTCTCATCAAGTTACAGCTGTCATCTCAGAGTCTCGTCACATCACAGCTGATCATCCAGAGTCACTTCATGTCACAGCTGATCGTCTAGAGTCTCATCACGTCACAGCTGATCATCCAGACTCACTTCATGTCACAGCTGATCGTCTAGAGTCTCATCACGTCACAGCTGATCATCCAGACTCACTTCATGTCACAGCTGATCGTCTAGAGTCTCATCACGTCACAGCTGATCATCCAGACTCACTTCATGTCACAGCTGATCGTCTAGAGTCTCATCACGTCACAGCTGATCATCCAGACTCACTTCATGTCACAGCTGATCGTCTAGAGTCTCATCACGTCACAGCTGATCATCCAGACTCACTTCATGTCACAGCTGATCGTCTAGAGTCTCATCACGTCACAGCTGATCATCCAGACTCACTTCATGTCACAGCTGATCGTCTAGAGTCTCATCACGTCACAGCTGATCATCCAGACTCACTTCATGTCACAGCTGATCGTCTAGATTGTCCAGAGTCTCGTCACGTCACAGCTGATCGTCCAGAGTCTTATCACGTCACAGCTGATCATCCAGAGTCTCGTCACGTCACAGCTGATCGTCCAGAGTCATATCACGTCACAGCTGGTCGTGCAGAGTCTCATCAGGCCACTGCTGCCATCCCGTAGTCACATCACTTCACAGCTGGTCTTCCAGAGTCTTGTCACATCCCGTCTGTTGTACCCAGATCTTCGAGGTCAGTTCTAAGGTATACCAGACTGGCATCCAGTGTGGAGGATCCACCGCTGGTGTCAGTACACGCATCTGGTATCCCTAAACCAACGCTCTCTAGCGACACAGTTCATACACTTTCAAGCTTGCCAGCCACTACTCACCCCAGTTCCCCAGGCACAGCACCTTCAGTCTCTGAGATAGACGATGTACTCTCTGTCCTACCAGTTATGGCTATGGCCATTCTGTGTGTTTTGGCTGCACACACCACCGTAGTTTCCCCAGAGATTGCAGCCTCCACTGCAGAACCTCCCGAAGTGGTGGCGCCCACTCCAGTCCCCGAGTCTAGCCCAGAGAGGGCTCCAGACCTCGAGTTTAGCCCAGAGAGGGCTCATGTTCCAAAGTTTAGCCCAGAGAGGGCTCCTTTTCCCAAGTTTAGCCCAGAGAGGGCTCCTGATCCCAAGTTTGGCCCAGAGAGGGTATCTGTTCCAGATCAGAGTCTAGTGCAGGTTCCAGCCCCTGACCAAAGTCCAGTGCAGGCTCCAGCCCCCGAGCTCAGTCTAGTGCCTGCTCTCACCCCAGAGCTCAGCCGGGATCCAGCTCTAGTCCATGAATTCGTTCCAGAGTTTGCTCCTAGTCCAGAGTCCCTGAAAAGTCCGCCCAGCCCTCCTTCATCAGTTCCAGTGTCTGCTCCTCCAGAGCACCATCCAGTGTCCAGCTCCAGTCCCAGAGACCTTTCCTGTCCCTGAGTCCGTTCCAGTTTCTCCTAAGGTGGCAACTTCTGTTGCAGAACCTTTCACGGTGGAAATATTCGCTCTGACTCCTTCCGAGACAATAGCAGCACTCTCCCCGAGCTCTCGGTGTTCCTTGTCACCTCTGTTTTTACCACGGACACTAGTTTTAAACTCTCCCTGTTTCCTAATGCCTCTATTATGGCCGCAAGTGCTGTCTCTGAACTCTCTGTGTTTGTTGTAGCTCCTATTGCTACTGCTGCAGAACCTCCAGAGGTGGCGGCATCCGCTTCAGAACCTCCAGAGGTGGCGGCATCCACTGCAGAACCTCCAGAGGTGGCGGGGGTGTTCACTTCAGGTCCTCTTAAGACAGGGGTGCCCACTAATGAACTCTTTGTCTGTCCTGACGAGGTCATGGAGACCATCAGTGAATCCCCTGTCAAACCAGTCTTGACCCTAGAAGCCAATCATGAATTCTCAGCCCTGCCTGCTACGCTCACCCTGTTACGGCCAAAGATGCCGTTTCTGAACTGTCTGCCGGTCCTGCTACGGCCGCTAAGGCCATTGTTAACCTCTCTGTGCTCTTTGGTCCAGATCTGTCCAAAGTCCAGGACCTGTCACGATCTCTAGCTGCCCATGAGCTCCGTGTTTTCCTGTGCCTTGTCTTGCTTTGCCTTCGTGGTTTTTGGATCTTGGACTGTTTATCTGGTTTTCACGATTGTTTTGCTGCCTGCCCTGACCATTCCCTGTTCTGTGGATTACTCTTTTGCCTGTGCCTTTAATATTACTGTTTGGTGGTGTTTTGACCCTGCCTGTTCAGACTATGCTCTTCATAATAAAGCCTTGCATTTGGATCCGGATCTTGGGCTGTTTATTTGGTTTTCACGATTGTTTTGCTGCCTGCCCTGACCATTCCCTGTTCTGTGGATTACTCTTTTGCCTGTGCCTTTAATATTACTGTTTGGTGGTGTTTTGACCCTGCCTGTTCAGACTATGCTCTTCATAATAAAGCCTTGCATTTGGATCCACTACTCCGTTGTCACGCCTCCACGTTACATCAATAAAGAAATATATTATAGTATAGTAATAATATGACACTATAAAATAAAAAAAAATTGTATTTCATACTACTACTGCTACTAATTATTATTATTATTATTATTATTATTATTATTGTTACTGTTACTGTTATTACTATTATCATTATTATGATGATGATGATTATTATTAATAATAATACTAATAATACTACTACTACATTCATTCATTCATGTATTTATTACGCACCAATAAACACAACAGCAGTTGAACATTGTGCTGTACAAATAAAATAAAAACCAGAAAAAAAGAACAACATCAGTAAAATCAAAAGATAATTTAACATGCAAAGTTTAAAAAGCCAAGGTAAGAAAATAAGATTTCAATTTAGTTTTAAACTCAGAATTTGAAGCTTTCACAGATAAAGGAAGGTTATTCCATAGCCTCGGTCCAACTATTGCAAAT